TATTCCAATCAAAATTTCAATGTCATTCTTCAAAGAAATAGAACAATTATTGATGAAATTCATATGGAATCACAAAAAACCCCGAATAGCCAAAGCTCCTGAAAAAAAAAGAAGGGAATGGAGGCATCACACTCCCAGACTTCAAAACTCTACTACAAAGCCATAATCATCAAAAACTGCATGGTATTGGAACAAGAACAGACATACAGACCAATGGAATCGAATAGAAAATCCAGAAATAAACCCACAGATTTATGGTCAACTAATCTTTGACAAAGGAGCAAAGACTATGCATTGGAGCAAAGAAAGTTTGTTCAATAAATGGTGCGGGAAAACTGGGTCGCTACATGCAAAAGAATGAAGCTTGACCACTACCTCACACCATACACAAAAATCAACTCAAAATGGATTAAAGACTAGACATAAGACCTGAAACCATAAAATATATAGAAGGAAATATAGGCGAAACACTACGTGATTTGCACATCAAAGACATCTTTACAGACACATCACCCAAAGCAGTGATAGTGAAGGCAAAGATAAACAGCTGGGACTACATCAAATTAAAGAGCTTCTGCACAGCAAAAGAGACAATAACAAAAACAAAGAGAAACCCCACCAACTGGGAGAAACATTTTTGCACCCAACACTAATGATAAGGACTGATCACAAAAAATCTGCAAAGAGCTGATGAGACTCAACAACAACAAAGAAAATAATCCAGTCAAAAATGGGCAGAAGAGCTAAAAAGAAACTTCTCTGAAGAGGAAATGCAAATGGCCAACAGGCATATGAAAAAATGTTCAACATCACTTGTCATCAGGGAAATGCAAATCAAAACTACCATGAGATACCATCTTACACCAGTGAGAATGGCACATATTAAAAAAACTAGCAACAACAAATGCTGGCGAGGGTGTGGAGAAAAGGAACTCTTCTGCACTGTTGGTGGGAGTGCAAACTGGTCCAACCAATGGAGAGCTGTTGTGAGATTTCTGGACCTACTAAACATAGAGCTTCCATATGATCCAGCAATTCCACTCCTAGGTATTTACCCAAAGGACACAGAAACATCATTCCAAAGAACACCTGCACCCCTATGTTTATAGCAGCACTCTTTACAATAGCTAAGCTTTGGAAACAGCCCAAATGCCCAAAAATAGATGACTGGATCAAGAAGATGTCGTACATATATACCATGGAATATTACTCACATTCAAAAAGATAAACACATGCAATTTGCAGCAACATGGATGGCGCTGGAAGGGATCATGCTCAGCGAAATAAGCCAAAAAGAAAAAAGAAAAATACCGGATGGTCTCACTCATAGCAGGAATCTAGAAAACTTAAATAAGGGACCAGGAAAATGAATAACTATAAGAAGTGAAAATCAAAATCAACAAAAAACTATGAACAGAGACACTTTTAGGGGGCGGGGGCGGGAGGGGAGGGATTGGTGTCAGAATGGGGGGGGGCTGCAATTGTAATGGGGAATATAACAATAAAATTTATTATAAAAAAAAAAGAGTATTAGGTTAGTGAAGAAAAAATATTTTTTAAAAATTCAAGTTAAAAGGCTTAATTCCCCTAAATCATGACATAGCATCTGGATGAATACAATTGTTTCCTACTGACAAAAAGCTCAAAATATTCTGCATTATTAATATCCATAATCAAAAATAGGATAGAATGGTGCTAATGAAGAATAAAATGTCACTGCTGCAAATGGAGTACATGCCAAAATATAAGAAGTACTACTCATTTACATAATTGTAAAACCTTTACTCATTTACATAATTACTACTCATTTATACAATTGTAAATTGTAATCTAATAATTCTCATTACAATTAGAAAATGAGAATATGCCAGGCCTCCCCGGTGGTGCAGCGGTTGAGCACTGGGCTGTAAAGCTGCCCGCAGCCTCTGCAGCGCTGGTTCGATCCCTGGCCACTGGGTAAAGGTCCCGCATGGTGCGCAGACCTCTCCTGTGGCATCCGCTGCTCCCCTCAGCCTTGTACTTCTTCATCAGTCTACCTGTTCTGCTCCCAATCTGGCTCTGGTGAATTCTCTCACCCTCCCGCGCTTCTGACTGTACCCAGTGCTTGTATAAATAAATAAATAAATCTTAAAAAAAAGAAAAAGAAAATGAGCATATACAGTGTATATAGATATATAATTTATAAATGTATAGATATAGGAAAACAAAATTTGAATATAGAAATGTCAGATACCTATACAAACTGGATGTATGTGTGCATATAATGAATAGCTATAGATATGTAATATTTCAAAGAATACAGATAATTGAATTCTTTTTCTGTGTCTTATTTTACTTCAGATCTATATGAGCTCATTTTAACCTGTCACATGAGAAGAGGTGCATGTAGTACAAAGTGTACCTGAAGGCTCAGGAGGGTCAAATGACATGAGACTCTGCTGGAGTAAAATACTATGTCAAAATACATAAAAACTGAAAAAGTTCACAGGGCACTGATCAATGAAATTCTTTTTACGTGAGGGTCTGTGTCCCCAAGAGAAGCTGGACAGTAAAAGGGGTCACAATGGAGGACATGAAATGGCCAAGGAAGAAGGGATAACTAGTAGGTAGAATGAGATAACCAGATGATGGCACATAATATGTCTCTGATTTGAGTTGTTCCTTGAGAATTGTGGACAAGGGTGTAGATAACAGATGTGTGTCAAGAGGTATAGGAACTGGTAGGCCAAAACTCCACCAGGGTGGAGTTGTGTGTTGATGCTGTTTTGCTGGGCACTGTCCCTTACAGTTCCCTCCCTCTGTATTTACTCAGTTCTAACAGGGAATCAGCTAGTTGGTGATTTTGTTCTGGTCACAAGGTGGCGTCAGAGATCTGTATATGCTGACCTGTTCTTTTTCCCAGTGGTTCGCTGAGTAGCGGAGGTGGGGCGGAGAGGAGCACCTCAACACAGGGGCTCTTATTCAAATTGGGTGCTGTGTCTGCCCCATGTTCACTCGGTGCTGTGCCCGCTGTTGTATGGATGCCACACTCTGAATTCTGCACTGTACGTCTCAGTTCCAGGGCTATCAGATCCAAAACACTGGCTGTCACCCTGTGCAGTGCCCGCTGCTATGGTACATCCCACACCCCAGATCCTGTGCCTGGCTCTCAGTTCCATGATGGGGTCTTGCTCCACACCTTATTTCCCTCCTTACCCATTTGCATGGCCAACCCTCTCTCAGAGGCTGAGGGTGTTTTTGGGGTCCCTGGTTTCCAACTATTGGGTGTTGGTGATTTTTTTCTGGTGATATGGAGAAAAAGGAACTCTCCAGTACTGCTGGTGGGAGTGCAAACTGGTCCAACCACTATGGAAAGCTGTGTGGATATTCCTCAACCTACTAAACATAGAGCTTCCATATGATCCAGCAATTCCACTCCTAGGTATTTACCCAAAGGACACAGAAACAGTAATTCAAAAGGGCACCTTCACCCCTATGTTTATAGCAGCACTATTTATAATAGCGAAGCTTTGGAAAAAACCCAAATGCCCAAAAATAGATGACTGGATCAAGAAGATGTGGTACATATACACAAAGGAATATTACTCAGCAATCAAAAAAGATAAACTCATGCAATTTGTGGCAACATGGATGGAACTGGAAGGGATCATGCTCAGTGAAATAAGCCAGAAAGAAAAAGAAAAATACTGGATGGTCTCACTCATAGCAGGAATCTAGAAAACCTAAATAAGGGACCAGGGAAAAGAATAACTATAAGAAAGAAAAAATCAAAATCAACAAACAACTATAAACCAGAGACACTATTGGGGGGGGTGGGGAAAGGAGGTATTGGGGCCAAAATAAAGGGGATGCAATTGTATGGGGAATATAAAAATTAAAAAAAAAAAGAAAAAGAGGAACAAATATCTCGGTTTTACTTACTTTTTTCGCATTCAGAGTTTTCTGAAAAATAAGAAGAAACAAATAATTTATTCCAAATAGTATAGTAAGCAGAAAATGGAATCCATTCTAGAGCTCTCTCTGTGGTTCAGTGTGCTAAATTTTGAAATGTTCTCATGTTTACATGTAATCAAATTGCGGGTGGTCAATATTAGGTCACTATATTTCATTGGACTGTCCCACTTACCTGAAAGACTGGTAAACACACGTGTATACACATACAGCTTGGGAAATAATGATGAGGAAGCTCTAAAGTAAGGCACTCAGCTGGCAAAAATGGAAAAGCATTCAAAGTCTTCTGAGATTTTAATACTCATGGATATAAACTCTGAGATGCTGAGTAGAAATTCAGTTTACCTTTTAATATGTGAATCAAAAAAATGCAAGAACAATACTAGGGAATAAAACCATTGGAAATATTAAAAATAAAACAGTCAAATTAAGTAAAGTAGTTAGAGACCCGTGAAAACTGGGGTAAATTCTGCTCACTCAGTTGAAAACTTACCGTCAAGTTCATGGGTGTTGAAAACATATCACAATCTACATTTGTCATGAAAGGTCATTATGACATGAAATATAGCTTATTAAGTTTTGGATCATCTTTGCAATGTCAAGATCATAGACAAGTAATAAGTGCTTGGCAAGAAGCCCACCAACAATGCATATATGACAGCGTTTCTTAGATCCTTCATATTTGTACGACTATGCAGGGCATGGAAAACTTGTGCCTGTGCTTCAAGCCCTCTAATTCATCAACTTTTCTACAAATCTTGGGTAAAGCTCTGTGAGTAACAATCAGATTTTTTACATAGGAAAGTAACATTGAATGGAAATGAAAATCAAGTCATGGAATGTTGGAATACCTCATGGAGAAGTACTTAATGGGAAAGACAGTATTGAATATAAAGTAAAGGTGGAAAAAGTAGGCATCCCAGCAGAATTGAGAGCCAATGCTTGGTATAGACTAATGCCTGATACTCATACAAATGAGCAGGGGGTAGTAAAGAGATAAAAGAGCAGACATTAAAAGGAAGTGGGAGCAAAAATATCAGAATATTTACCTAATTGTTTCTGGAGTTGAGCTGAAAAAAAATAAGGAAAAAAACACTGTTTAAATATTCACATAAAATGAAATTTTGAATTCATGACAAATGTTTAGGTGATCAGGCAGCAGACGACCAATGCACACAAGATTCAGAAGAATTTATATAGACTTTTAACTATGTCCTCTAGACAAAGAAATGTGCCTCGTGCAGGAGATGAATTTACTGATTCCATAAATTAATTACAAAATAGTCCTTCCAAGGTTACTTGTGCTATGAGATTTTAATATATCCCTGCTTGCCCATAACTTACTCAGGTGTTGCTGGTACATGTGTAATATAAATGAATGCTGTGTGATTCTCAACACTTTCTATATATGTGAGGCAACAACAAAAATGAATTGTGTCTTCTGCTACAATTTCAACATAAAATGAGCTTTTGAATTTGGAAGCTACAGCTTTCACAACACAGAAAATTCACATAAAGATTCCAACTGAAGAAACTGGGAAGGACACTTCAGATAATCTTAAAGAGTTTATCTGACCAATGCTTCGTAAACTCAAATTCCAGGAACAATATGTATGAGATGTACATATTATGTACAATAAAGGGAAAACCTGGAATTAAGTCATGGGAATATGAAGAAAATATGTAAACCAGAAGAATATGAAATGTAAGTTGGAAGCATGTCTTCCTTCTACTAGCTTTTGTATTTTTGCTTTTGTTCTTTTTCTATTTCCATGCTATGTAAGGGTGTTATATTGTGTTCTATGTTTTTTTTTTTTTTTTCTTGATGTGGGCTTATATGTCTATATACTTCCATCTAGTACTGCTTTTGCTGTGTCCCATAAGTTCTGCAAGGTTGTGTATTCAATGTCATTTTTCTTGAGGTATTTTATTTATTTATTTATTTATTTGCTCTTCTCTATGTTTCAATAGTCTTTCAGTATTGTGTTGTTCAACCTCCACTTATTAGGTTTTCCCTGATTCCTCTTTGTATTTTATTTTGACTTTGATCTCTTTATGACCTGAGACAACACTTGATAAATATTTAATCAACATAATTTGTTAATATTTTTCTTGTGACCCTACATGTGGCAAATCCTGAGACTAGCCCATGTGCACTTAAAAATGTATATTCTAGTTTTTTGCATGCAAGGTCCTAGAGAAGTCCATTATAATCCATATAGTCTTAATCTTTGTTTAAAGTTATTAGGTCCTTATTAATTTTTTGTCTCATTGTTTTGTCTATTGGGAGAGTAGAATATTGAAGTCTTCTATCACAAATGTGTTTCTTTTAATATTTGTTTTCCGAGTTGATAGCAGTTGACTATTATATTTCAATGATCCTTTGTTTGGTGTGTATGTTGATGAATGTTATGTATTCTTGATATATTGATTGTCCCCTTAATGATATGTAATGTACGTCCCTATCTCTTGCTAGCTTTTTTAATTAGATATTTATTTTGTTTGATATTAGTATGGTGTCCCTGACTTTCTTTGGGTCATATTTGCTTATAATTTTGTTTTCTAACTGTTTACCTCGAGTTTATGTTTATCTCTGAATTTCCAGTGTGTCTCTTAGGAACAAAATGAGGTTGGATTTTGTAACTTAATCCAACTGGACATTCTGTGTCTTTTAATTGGTGAGTTTAGTTCATTAACATTTAGTGTGATTATTGTTATATGAAATTCTTTTGTTGTCATTTTGTCTTTAGTTTTATGTTTCAACTTATTTCCCTTTTCAGTTCTTTTGTGTGTTTCTCAATTCAGCTTAGCAGTTACTTTCTCAATTTCTTGAATATGGAGGCTACTTTTGTCAAACTTCTTCAGTTTTATTTTATTTGAGGTCTTTTTTTCTCTCTCATATCTGAAGTAAAGGCTTGCAAGATAGTATTATTGGTGACAGTTTTTATCTTTAAGCCTTTGGATCACTTTGTTCTGTTCTCTCCTTACTTGCAGTGTTTCTTCTGAAAAGTCAGATATTTGCCTGATCTGGACTGCTTTGCAAATTATCTGTTTCTTCCCTCTTACTTTTTTCAGTATTCTTTGTTGCAGGGGGCCTTGCTGCCCCAGCCAGGAAAGACACTGGCAAGCAGCTAAGCTAAAGGGCCTCACACCGTGGGGCTGAAGATTTAATATCCCTTTGTTTTTTGTTCTTGGTCATAAAAAGAGAAAAATTTCTCAGAAAGTACATTAGGCAATATAGTATATGTATCAGCATACTGTGAGTAAATGGCACGGAAAATTATCTGTTTAGAAATTAGTTATTAAACAATTTGACCCACTTGACAATGGGAGACAATTTATTGAACATGCTTGACAAGCACTCCTGCACAACAATTATAGTAAGTCTTTCTTTTGCTTTTTTAGAAGTTTCCTAGGAAAGTTTTTAAATGAAGTTAACTATGTTAAGAAGTTTCTAGGTAGAAAAAGTTCTGATAGCTGAGTAGTAGCTGGTCCCCGGCTGAAGATCATGTGAATAAGAAGAGTCTTTTGATGCTCAGGCTTTAGTTGATAGGGGTGTACCGGCAGCTATCATCTGTTTTAGGTAAATGTCTAACTGAAATAATGAGTTTTATATCTAACTAAAACAATGAGTTTTAGTGTAGGGCCTATTTTTTTATCCATTTACCTTGAAGGCTGCTTTCTTGCGGAAGGCACATAGGAACAAAAAGTCTAAGGGATGCACTGATGGTTTCTGCTTTGTTTCTATACACATGATAATGTAATCTCACTGCTTGCTAAAAATGTATAAATAAAGAACCTGCTGAGCCCCTCAGCAGGAGATACTTGCACCAAAAAGAAGAGTGCATGTCTGCCTCATTCCCTTCCCTTCAGCCCTTAACGTGTTGCTTAGGCCATCTCATCCTTTCAGGAACCCCTGACACGACATTTTGACAGAGGCTGGTTCCCGGCAATTCTTTACTTGCCTTGAACTCTTGGAAGATTCACCACTATGTCTTGGTATTAGTTAACTTTGTTTAGGCATGTCTCTGTTATTATAGTTTCTTAGTTTTGTGTATTTCCTTTATCAAGTTTGGGAAGATTTGCTCTATGATTTCTTTAAATATATTATTTGCTCCTTTTTTCTCTTTCTCCTTCTGGGATACACATTCTTTTTATGGCCTTTCTTGATGGTGTTAGATGGCTCATGAAGTATATCTTCAGTTTTTAGCATCATCTCTTTATCTTCTTCCATTTTGTGTCTTTGCAAATTACATTCCAGTTCACTGATTCACTCTTCCATTTGGTTTATTCTAAAAATCTTCTATTGCTTTCTATAGTATTCTTCATTGCCTCTTTTAATGTATTTTATACTGCAACTCATTAATTTTCTTCTTTAAAGTATAATTTTTGAACTGTTCATTGATATTTCCAGGAAATTCATTTATTTTTATGAATTTCCTTGTATAAACTTGATGAGATTTTTTGTGTTCTCTCTGAGTTCTTTTAATTTCTACATGTTGCCAAACTTGAATTTAGTGTCTTATAGGAGGAATATACCTTCCATATCTTTGTGACTGGATTCTAGAAATTTGTTCTCTTCCATTGTTGCAGTATTCCCCCTAGGACTCCTGCATTTATCCATTTTGTTGTCCCATCAACCTAGTGCTTTCAGGACCTCACTGCTGTGGGTTTGGTATCTTATAGGCATGTCAGAATTTCCCCTAAAGATGGCCCTAACACTCACCAGAGGATGTATAGGGATGGCTGATGTCAGGTAGTATCCTATACAGAAAAAAGGGGGATGCACCTGCTCAATAGGGACTGGTGAATGGGCCCATAATTGGGGGTCATTCCCAGGGTATGACTGAGTGTTACTGTTTTCAGGCAGGTCTCACCATATTTAGACAAGTCTGGGGCATCCGTGAGTCGGAGGTGCTTAACAAAGGGCTGCTGAAGTTCATTATTATCAGTGTCCTTGGGTGGCATCAATGAGGATGAACGTCGTTTCCCAAGATGCTGGTGGGTGTGCTCAGGGTCAGGGGAGCTTCTCAAATGGTGGCTGAGTTTTTCTGTTCTTCCCTGATCTTCTTCACCTAAAATGAAAATGGACAAAACAGAAATTAATTTCAGATGAAGACACCATAAAACAAGAAATTTGAGAAACAAAAATTTGATGCCATTTCAAAAATGAAATTGTGATACTAAAGACAGAAATTTGGACACTTGAGGTAACAAATAATTTATCACAAATTTGCCATTCCCATTTCTTGGTTCAAAGGGAAGTGAAGTAGAAATGACATCATGCCAGTTTATGAAATAAGATTTCCCTTGGATAAACAGTAACAAAGACTGGTCTTTTATTTGTCTCACTCTCCCCACACCTCTGGCCTGTACCCCAGTTCTTATGTACATAAATAAATAAATCTTTAAAAAAAATCCCTCCCTGAGTTTATTATGCTTGGGGACAGTAACCCATGGGGAGCCCCATTCTTTGGCAATCTCCAGCAACAAGCTCCCATGGTTCCTTCTGCTATACTCCCACATTGTAGGCTGGATATGGTCACCCTATACCCACTCCTATATATCACTCACCCCAACTGATACAGAAATGTTAGTTTATCTATAGCAGACAGTACAACATACTAGGCCAACACCCTTGGCTGACAGCATACTTCAATTTTAGCACAAGCTCAATACATCAGGACCTTTTTCAATTTATCTTACAAAAACACTGATTCAAAAGATGTATGCATCATTATTGTTGTTCATTGCAACATTATTCACAATAAACAAGAGTACAAATAATCTAAGTACCCATTGACTGATGAATTTATAAAGATGAGATATGGGCCTCCCCTGTGGTACAGAGGGTTGGGCGCAGCACTGTGAAGCTATCCACAGCCTCTGCAGCACCAGTTCGATTCCCAGCTGGCCAGGGAGATACCCACATGATACTGCCTACCTCTCCTGTCTCTCCCGCTACTTCCCTAAGCAATATTTTCAGTCCATCTGCCTGTTCTGTTCCCCTCTCTGTCTTTGGTGAATCCTCTCATCCTCCCATGCCTCTGACCTGTACCCCAGTTCTTGTATAAATAAATAAATATTAAAACTAAATAAATAGGGCCTCCCAGGTGGTGCAGCGGTTGAGCGCTGGGTTGCGAAGCTGCCCGCAGCCTCTGCGGCACCGGTTCCATCCCCAGCTGCTCCCCGGCCACTGGAGGAGGGTCCCACATGGCGCGTGGACCTCTCCTGCCACCCACTGCTCCCCTCAGCAGTGTACTTCGGTCCTTCTGCCTGCTCTGCTCCCCGCTCTGGCTCTGGTGGGTTCTCTCACCCTCCCGCGCTTCTGACTGTACCCAGTGAATGTATAAATAAATAAATAAATAAAACATGCCTCTATAAAAAAATTAATAAATAAAACTAAATAAATAAATATTAAAAAAGTAAAGAGGTGATATATTTCAATATATTTCAAAATGGAATACTACTCAGCTCAGCTTTAACAGAAGATGAAATCTTGCCATTTGTAACATCCTGGATTGATCTTAAGGGAATTATGCTAAAAAAATAAGTGAGAAATAGAAAGGTTCTATATGATATGGATAATATGTGGAATATAAAGAAACAAAGTAAATGAACAGATAAAATAAAACAAAAATCTGTGAGTGTGATACAGAATTTTGATTATCAGAGGAGAAGGGATGAGAGGGTGAGGGGGTAATAAGTATGAGTAAATGGAGTAAATTGGATGACAGTAGCAGTAATTAGAAATTTGGTGGTGGGTGTGTTGTGATATCATCATACATTTGAAGTATCATGCAACTGTACTTCTAAAGCTTACATAGTATAGTAAACCAGTGATGAGCCCTAAAACAGCAACAACACAAGAAAAACAAGATGTATTTACAAATGTATGTTTATATATAATATAAATATATAAAATATAAAAAGAAAATAATATTTTATACTAAAAAATAAAAACTGCTATGTATATAGGAAAGTATATATACACATAATGTATATGTATATATTAAAGTATACATATAAAGTGTGTGTGTATGTGTGTGTGTGTATATATATATATATATATATATATTCCTAAATTCCATTTCCTTTCAAAACATAAAGAGAATTTGATTATTAAAAAAAAAAGTGTGAGCAGTTAAGTATTATATTCAATTTTTATGGGAAAACTTTTGCCAAGATTCTAATAATTATTTCCCTTGTTTTTCACTAGACATTGAGATAGATATAAATAACTTTACCTAATACATGACTACCTTTCGCAAACATTAAACAGGAATTTCAATATTCAAAAAATGCTAGTTTTGTCATTAAAAATGCAAAGAATAAAGAATAATATTATGTTTTTGAGGAAAAGTCATTGAGAATATTTATACATCTTGAAACACTTGAGTAATGTCTATTTTTCCCTTTCAATAACAAGTAAAGAATGAGTCTCATTTTCACACTAGATCAATGAATGATATCACAATGAATGATATCAGAATTTATACAGTCTTTGAAAGGGCAATATAGAAAAATTTAGCTGAGCATATTGAATACTGTCACCCATCTTTAAAGGCTTAGGGTTGTTATTGACATAGAAATGAATCATTCAACTCATAATATGTGACAGAGGTCCTAAATTTATGTGTATTCCAGAAAGATACACAAAATGTAAACCATGTATCTTTCAGCCTACTGCCTATCATCTCACCAAAATTGACAGTACAACTATAGGGTGTTTCAGGGAAAAAGGGGGAACAAAATTGATAGGGAAGGTATGGTATGGACTGGAAAAGATGATAAGTACGGGCATTGAAACTTACAAAGCTTAATATGGAAGAAGTCTAAAATCAGAACAGTGGGGAGGAAGAGAAAATATTCCCAGGAAAATACAATGGAGGGCCTCCCAGGTGGCGCAGCGGTTGAGCGCTGGTTTGAGAAGCTGCACGCAGCCTCTGTAGTGCCGGTTCGATCCCCGGCTGCTCCCCAGCCACCGGAGGAGGGTCCCACATGGCACGCAGACCTCTCCTGCCGCCCGCTGCTCCCCTCAGCAGTGTAGTTTGGTCTTTCTGCCTGCTCTGCTCCCCGCTCTGGCTCTGGTGAATCCTCTCCCCTTCCAGCGCTTCTGACTGTACCCAGTGCTTGTATAAATAAACAAACAAACAAATAAATAAATAAATAAATCTTTAAAAAAATACAATGGAAAAATCAATGTAAATATCAAAAAGAAAGAAATATACAAAAAATCCAATTTATAGAAAAATTCATATTTAAAATTAATCCTACCATAATGAAAATAAACACACAGGGCCTCTCTGGTGGTGCAAGGAGTTAAGCACAGCACTATAAAGCAATCGGCAGCCTCTGCACAAAAGTTCGATCCCTTGCTGGGGCGCTACCCACATGGCGCAGCTGACTTCTCCTGTCTCACCCACTGCTCCCCTCAGCAGTGTATTTCAGTCTGCTTGTTCTGTTCCCCACTCTGTCTCTGGTGAATCCTCTCACCTCCCATACCTCTGTTCTCTCATATGCATAAATAAATCAATCTTTAAAAAAAAGAAAAAGAAAAGAAACACACAAACACTGCATGCACACATAGACATTCATACATTCACATCCATTTTATGTACAGTGGCTGAGAACACACTTGTCTAGAGATTATACTCCCAGCTACATAAGATCCATGAAATAAATTCATGGAATAAAAAAAATTAATATAAGTTTTGATAATAATACAAGTGTCCTAGATTTCTTAGAAATTATTTAGGACTTTATAATTCAGTTTCTTAGATTAATTTTGACTGTTAGTAAATGTATATAGTTATTCTTCATGATTGTGGTAGGAAATGTGATAACTTTGCCAAAATACTGAATTAGATGATCTTGGTCTACAGCTCCAGAGGACTTAAGGAGCACATTTCTTGGGATACTCTTCTCACAACATATTCAGCAATTCATGAGAGAAATAACCTGTGTTATTCAAATTTATATTTTAACTAATGCCAAAGTGGAGCTATTCTTAATCAAGTCACATAAAAGAAAAGGAAATGAAGTATAAATTTCTTTGAAGTTGTTATGAATCAAATGATATGACATCTCCAGTATGTTGTAGAGAACCCACATTTCAGAAATTTTGAAGAGTCCAATAATTTAGATATGTGCTTAATAAAAGTTCCTTGAAACATAATAAGTATCCATGTAGAATGAAGGGGAGAGATCAAAGAATTGAAAATACTGAAAATTGGGTAACAAGTGAAGATGAAAAACTTCTATTAGAAGATAAATTCAAGCAAAAAACATGTAAAAATATGTGTAAGTTGGAGTTGAGGAAGATGATCATTGAGGGCTAAAAGTTAGAATACATGTCACAGATCTAACCATGTCTAGGTACACAGAAAACACATGGGACTTGGTGGGTTTTTTTACTGTTGTTTTTTTTTTTTTTTAACTCCTCACACTTATCAATAAAATAAAATGAAGTAAAAGCATGTGTCTGGTTTTGTCTTGTAAAGAAACTGTAGTGGGGACTTCCCGGGTGGTGCAGAGGGTTGAATGCAGTGCTGTGAAGCTGTCTGCAGCTTCTGCAGTGTGGATTCGATATCCGGCCAGCCAGGGAGATACTCCCATGGCATGGCAGACCTCTCCTGTCACTCCCGCTGCTCCCCTTAGCAGTGTATTTTGGTTGTCTGCCTGTTCTGTTCCCCTCTGCTCCCTGCTCCATTTTTGGTGAATCCTCTCACCCTCCAGTGCCTCTGGCCTGTACCCCAGCTTTTGTATAAAAATAAGTAAATCTTAAAAAAAAAAGACACTGCAGAGGAAAAACATTGTCCTTGTGAAAAGGCATTTTGAAATTTGCTGACTCCAAACAAATCAGTAATTTCAAAAAATGTTAACTCTAAGAGATGTGACATTGCTAAAATTCTCAGTTCCCAGAAGACAAAACTCTAAATAGGATAAATTTTACCACACTTTTGTTTTCCTCAATGGATGGACAGCATACAATATATTATCTGGACTCTTCCCTGGATTTTCTTTGTAAAAATCCCTAAAAGATTTCATTGAGAATATCAAAAACATTTCCAGC